TGTGTGTGTGTGTGTGTGTGTGTGTGTGTGTGTGTGTGTGTGTGTGTATAATGGAGATTTTCCAATACCAATTTATTTCCTTCCTGGTACCCATTGTGACTAACTTTGGCATTCAGTGCAGGGTTCCCCTTAATCTTAAAGTGTCTGGCCAATTTCCAGTAGAATTTCACTGATGTTTTTGTTTGTTGTTCTTTTTTAAATGTGCAGCCTCATCCCAAAGGAGCCAGGATAGACGTGTCCATCAATGAGTGCTATGACGGCTCGTACGTTGGCAACCCTCAGGACATCCACAGCCAACCCGGGTTTGCTTTCAGCCGCAACGGCCCAGTTAAGAGGACCGCTGTAACTCACATACTGGTCTGCAGGTACGCCTGAACTCATTGCCAGACAACGTCATTAACGTGTTTGAATGAACTTCAATGACGCAGTGAGCGCGGTTAGAACTTATCTAGAACAGGTGATGTATACAAGAATATATCATGAAGAAAGCAGTATTGAGGTTATTGCCGCATCATTACATGTGACCTCTGACAAATGAGAGCAAGAAAGATTTGAGAATGCCAGCGTTCGTAGTGCACAAGCAGGATCTGTTGTCTGTCCCCCGTCCTCTAGGCCCAAGAGGACTAAACCGAGTCTGTCCGAGTTCCTGGAGACCGAGGACGGAGAGTTGGAGCAGCAGAGGACGTATGTCAGCGGACACAACCGCCTCTACTTCCACAGCGACAGCTGCATGCCGCTGCGGCCCCAGGAGATGGAGGAGGACAGCGAGGACGAGAGGGACCCGGAGTGGCTCCGAGAGAAGACCGGCACGGTGAGAGGCCCTTTGCTCGTTGCGTCGTCCTCTCTCTGGCTTCACTGTTGAATTAAGTTGTCCCACCACTCATGGAGACACCCTGAAAGGTCAATTCCTCAAGTTTCGTCTCCACTTAGTGAAGCAAACATAGAATCTCACCCTCTTTTATTGGGACTTGATGTTAAAGTTTAGTTGAGACTGACACGAGGAAGCATTGTGTGACATTTTTAAGGATAAGAGTTTACTTTACATCCTGTCTGTGTGCAAAAAGAGGTCTCAGTAGCTTCATTGGTTAGACAATACAGTTAACTTGGAACACAGCGTACACTTCAGCTTCCATTATAATGCAGTGTGCCGAGATGTCCTGCTAGTGTCGTCTTAATATATATATTTTAACTACCTATAGTATATTTCTGGCACTCTGTAAATTGAATATGAACTTACTGTACTTTGTGGCATTTTATGTGCTGTTGTATCATTATAATAGTTTTATTTCTAAAGGCACCACAGGCTCATTATAAGTTCCCTTTAGAAATAGAAGTATTATAATGATGCAACAGCAGATAAAATACCACAAAGTACAATAAGATGTATAGTGACCCTACTCTCCTTTTTACCATTTAGATCTACTATTTTGTCTTATCAGTTTAGACAGTATTGTAATATTCCTACAGTGAGTAATATTAGATCATGCTGTGTAGTTTATAGTGGCCATATTATTCCCATATAGTACCTTATTTGTTTTCAATGTATCTATTGCTTTAGGAGTCTCTCTTTATGCTGAAATATTTCTGATTTTATATGTTTAATAATAATTGAGAAACTGTACTAACTGAGTGAGGCCAGGGAACTACCGCTATCAGGCTCTCACAGTGTTTGAAATGGAGCATAAGTGGTTGTGTGAGTGAGTGTTTCTGCAGTGCCCAGAGAATGAAAAGGGGGGGGGGGGATTTAGCTTTGAGTACTGATTTTGGTGTCGGATTACCATGGCAACAAAGGGTCAAAAGCATTTGGGTCAGCCCTGCTCCCCATAAATAACTTAAAGCTACTAAGAACTGCTGCCAACTCGGTGCTCTTGTTCGGCTTCTTACAAACGTTCACAACACTTCTATCACTTCAGTATTGATTTCCTGTACCTGCTAACACAACCTGCTGTGTAGTGTCTGTCGGTATTACAGTGAAGTCACTCTCAGGGCCAACAGGAAATGCCTAAAAGGAATCGGTGGTCATTAAAATAGTTCCATTGCTCTCAAGACAAAAGGTTTTAAACATGACATGCATTGTACCGTTAGGCACCACAGGGCCATGCTAGTTGGCTCCTCTTCGGGGTTGCGGTAATACTGCGTCACCATAATTATATCTTAATTTGTAAATACTTTGTTGTTGTTTACATACAGCAACTGGATGACTTCACCGACGTCAACGAGGGAGAGAAGGAAGTGATGAAGCTGTGGAACCTACATGTCATGAAGTACGGGTACGTGGGAGGTGGTGAACCTTCCCGCCTTCCCGCCATTAAATATTCCTGATGCTGAGATTAAAAGCGGTCGCGTGATTGTGTAATGTGGATATTTACAAAGCTTTTATTTTGATGGGGTAACTTTCCTAAACTCTGAAGAGAGGAGAAGAGGGTTTGACTTTAGAAAAGGAAGCCAAAGCCCTTAGAAGTGCACTTATAATCTCTCGTATGTCTGATGGAGCTCAGTTTAGTCGCATATACAGGAGTTGTACTACATTGTAGTCCCTGCTACTATCGCCCCATCCTACTTTTGAAACTCTAAGCTCTTCTGTTTCTCCGTCTTCCACTTTCCAGCTTCATCGCCGACAACCAGATGAATCAGGCCATCATGCTCTTCGCGGAGAGCGTCGGCCCTCACATCGTCCGCCGCAACCTCTGCCGCAACTTCCTCCTGCATCTGGTCAGCATGCACGACTTCAACCTGGTGACCACCGCCACCATTGACCGCGCCATGGCCCGCCTGCGACAGATCCAGGAAGAGCTCCCGGACGCCGAGCAGGAGGAGGAGGAGGAGAAGCAGCAGGACCAGACTCTGGCTTCAGCGGCGGCCTGCAACGGCAATGCCATCACCTCCACTGGGGGGAAACGGGGCAAGAGGACAAAAAGCGCACTGACAGACTGATGTAGGACGGATGGAACAACGATTGTCGTTTTTTTTTTTTTTTTGTTTTTTTTTCTGTTCTTGTGTTTTTTTTCCCCCCCTTCTTCATTGAACATTTCCAACCCTTTGGTGCTTAGATAGGTGCAAGAACCGGAGGATCTGACCTGAAGCAGGCTAGTATACAAGGTAAACAAGTTTTCGGAACTTGAGAACTGAACCAAATATGAACGAATATAAAAAGTGAAACATCTACACAATCCAGGGATTTGAGGACTGGCTGATGTAAGTGGGACCTACTTAACATGCATTTAGTAGGAGCCACTGAAGTGTGTCTTTGGGTGAGGGAGTGAACAAACAAAGAGTCCTCTGATGTGTCCGCGTCAGAGACCACTGCATCCAGACTACAGTTAAAAATGTACTTTTTAACGGCACTCTTGATTATTTGTACACGTACACAATAACCTTGTTGAGATCTTATCCTTTTAGCTGATTACTTTTAGCACTTGGTGTGTTTGTATTTAGAAACCTTACTTTTTTTTTCTTCATGCTGCGCCAAATGTTAAATGCGTTTCCACTGCCGTCAGTGGAGAAACTTCAGTGGGTTTGATATCACTGCTGTGACTGACTTTTGATTTGAATTGCATACATTTGCAGTAAAAACCGACACTATTGGCATCAATGTCTAGAGTATCTAAAGCTCGTGTTAGGACCCCCGACATGGATCGTGGGTTTTGCTGGTAGGTTGCCATGACAATAGTGATATACTGTAAGCATTGGATCCCAAAAGAGAATAAATTCTGATTCGGGTCCGTGCTAAAAAAACCTACTTCATCAGCCCTAAGCCTTCTGGCCTGCATTGATAATGGCTCAAGGAAAGCCGGGGAAATCAACTTATTCCCAATATTTTATTTACCGAAACAACCAGCAGCACGTCACCCCCATCACCCCATCCCCATTCGACCATGTTGCAATTGCAACGTGTGTTTTGTTCTTGTTTTTATTTTTTTCCTTCCTCGTGTGTTTTGCGAAGCTATTGACAGAACTGTGTTTACGTGTAATCGCATCAAATGTTGAGCCGTACCCCATTCTGAATCCAATAATTAACAGATTGCAGTTCTCTTAAAGCAATATGCTGTTTATTCGATGGTTGGCTTTCAGTCTGTCTGTCCTGTTAGGTGCAGTTTATGCCAAAGGCGAATATTTTCACCAGTCTCTTAGTTCTGTATATTATTTAGCATCTTTTCTTTTGTTCGTTCCATAGCAGTAGTGTTTTGTGGTTTCATCCGATTTCCCTTGTGGAAAAACCAAATTAACAATATATTTTTCCCTCCTTTGCTTTTAATGGAAGGTTTCTGTATTCATCTGGAGAAAGGGAGACATATTCACCATTATTATGAAAAACACCCTGTTCAAAATTGTCAACTGTACATTCTGGCTAGGGGGACTTTTATATTTAAAGAAATAAAATGAATTTGTCCTTATTCGCGGCTGTAATGTTGTAACCATTTTGGACTCTTGCATCATTACACTCTCTCCTTCATGGTCCACTTGTCTGAATGATACCATTCCCACCATGCTATAACCTCTGTTTATAGATTTTATATGAACAATTCATGCCCCACAAATAAAAAAGAATGTATTTCATATGCGGCATGAAATATTTGGTTTTTACGTTATAGATCTTTTTGGTTGACAAAATCCAGACCAGCATAACTTAAGTCACTTACTCACTTTTTTTTTTCAGGCTTTTGACTGCATCACACTGTCCTCATCACCAGATTGAGTTAAGACTGTTGTTTTCAACTGTTGAGGTAAAGAAGGACCGGTCAAGGTCAAGTCAACACAAAACTAATAAAAAAAAAAAAAATTTTAAAAAATCAGTTCACTAATTTTGCTGAAGTCCTCTTAATGAGCATTCAAAATCAGATCTGTTTTTATAATGAACGTTCACACAAGGCAGCACTGAATATTTCATGCTAAATGAAACATTGAATCTCTAATCGATACAGAGAGAAGATGAGGGTTAAAGGGTTCACCAGAGTGCAGACCTTGCAAATTTCCCAGATACATGAAGTGTCTTCCCTTAAAAGGAAGAAATGCTCCATACTCTTCTGCCTAGTTGTCTCTTGTTTGACTTCTTTTTTTTTTTTCTTTTTTTTTAATGGTTAGTAACGAAGCTCTTCTGCTTCAGAGAGTCTGTCATTCCCCAAAAGTGTCAGGAAAGCTTTTCTCTCTCCGACTCAAGGAAGTTCACACTGCACAGTTTGTCCAAGAGAGTAGATATAATTCCAGCCAAAACTCCTTAGTCTTTCGTGTTAATTTGGTCAGTCAGCTCTTCGGGTGACTCTGGGTTGAGGACGACACAGTTGGTGCTATGATTAAATATGGGTTGTCCTGCCGAAGGTACCTCTACTATCCCCTTCATTTAAAGCCTGGGGCCAGTAAACAGTCCTGGTGGTTGCTAATGGGGAGGATGGAAGGGGATGCTCCATCTTCCACAGTTACCCTGTGACGAACACATTAAAGTGGGTCACAAATGTAAAAAGCTGATACTGTTCATGGTGGTAGTGAACGCTTTAGAGTAGACCATACATTTATATTCCCTGTGCTTCAAACTGTGTTCTTTCAAGACGGATCTTAGTTCCATCTTTAGTGTCAGACAACATGTAAACTTGGCCGTAGCTGGATCTCAATGTCTCAATAAAGAGCATTTTAGACGTTGTGACAAGCTGTTTTCTTCTAGCTAGGACAACAAAATGGTTATAAAAAATACATTATACTGTCCATATTTGATATAGTGATTTATAGTATTATTCAGTGTGGCTTTGTGGCACACTGAATATAATCCATCAGGTTTAATTGTTGGAATGCTGTTGGCAGGTTCGCCCTCGGCTGAGGCGGGGTCCTAGCTAGTGAATGTTTCATATTAGTTCAATTTGATAACTCTTTTGTCAGTCAGCTGTTTTTCCAAGCAGTAAACGAAAACTGAACAGAATTAGGCTTTTGATGGCTTCATGTTTGTCTATAACTTCCTCTGAGGAGACAAGAAATATTTAACAATGAAATGTTTTCAAACGTGGAGCAGGTTTTAACTGAGTCTCTGTTTGTAAATGAGGAAACAAAGTTCACATTCACAGCGCTGCTCCTCTTCCTGGAATGAACCACAGCTTGATAACCCCTCCTTCTTCCTCCTGCTCTCAAACACAGCCGGCTCCACTCTGCCCACATATCTCCTTGTTCCCTGACTTCAGATCTACAGTTTTAAAGATGGGTGTAACCAACATGGTGGTGAAGCGATAGAGCTGACAGCCTCCATTCACTGAACAAACACATGTTGTTCAGATCAGAAGTCAAAGCAGAGTCACTTCTAGTGAAGTGAAACTCAGACAGTCGTTGTTACTGAGAGGTGAAATGGAGCAGAAAGGAGTTCAGCTGGATCGGGAAACCTTCTCTTGTTCCATCTGTCTGGATCTACTGAAGGATCCGGTGGCTATTCCCTGTGGACACAGCTACTGCATGAACTGTATTAAAAGCTTCTGGGATGAAGAGGATGTGAAGAAACTCTACAGCTGCCCTCAGTGTAGGCAGACCTTCACACCGAGGCCTGTCCTGCTGAAAAACACCATGTTAGCAGTTTTAGTGGAGGAGCTGAAGAAGACTGGACTCCAAGCTGCTCCTGCTGATCACTGCTATGCTGGACCTGAAGATGTGTCCTGTGATGTCTGCACTGGGAGGAAACGGAAAGCCTTCAAGTCCTGTCTGCAATGTGTGATCTCTTATTGTGAGAAACACCTCCAGCCTCATTATGAATTCCCTGCCTTTGAGAAACACAAGCTGGTGGACCCCTCCAAGAAGCTCCAGGAGAACATCTGTTCTTGTCACAATGAGATGATGAAGATTTTCTGCCGTACTGATCAGCAGTGTATCTGTTACCTCTGCTTAATGGAGGAACATAAAGGCCACGACACAGTCTCAGCTGCAGCAGAAATCACTGAGAGGCAGAGAGAGCTGGAGGTGAGTCGACTAAACCTCCAGCAGAGAATCCAGGACAGAGAGAAAGACGTGAAGCTGCTTCAACAGGAGGTGGAGGCCGTCAATCGCTCTGCCGATGAAGCGGTGAAGGACAGCGAGAAGATCTTCACTGAGCTGATCTGTCTCATGGAGAAAAGAAGCTCTGATGTGAAGCAGCAGGTCAGATCCCAGCAGAAAAGTGAAGTGAGTCGAGTCAAAGAGCTTCAGGAGAAGCTGGAGCAGGAGATCTCTGAGCTGAAGAGGAGAGACGCTGAGCTGAAGCTGCTCTCACACACAGAGGATCACAACCAGTTTCTACACAACTACCCCTCACTGTCACCACTCAGTGAATCTACAGACTCGTCCGGCATCGATATCCGTCCTCTGAGCTACTTTGAGGACGTGACGGCAGCTGTGTCGGAAGTCAGAGATAAACTACAGGACGTTCTGAGAGAGAAGTGGACAAACGTCTCACTGGCAGTGACTGAAGTGGACGTTTTACTGTCACATTCACAAGCAGTGCCCAAGACCAGAGCTGGATTCTTAAGATATTCACGTGAAATCACACTGGATCCAAACACAGCATTCTCATATCTGTTATTATCTGAGGGGAACGGAAAGGCAACAGTTATGAGTAAACAACAGTCTTATTCTCGTCACCCAGACAGATTCACTACATGTCATCAGGTCCTGAGTAGAGAGAGTCTGGGAGGTGGAGTGGAGAGGAAGAGGAGTTCATGTCGCAGTCGCATACAAGAATATCAGCAGAACAGTGAGCTGTAATGAATGTGTGTTTGGATGGAATGACAAATCTTGGGCGTTACATTGTGGCAAAAACAGTTTTATATTTTTGTACAACAATATCCAAACTCCCGTCTCTGGTCCTCAGTCCTCCAGAGTAGGAGTGTACCTGGATCACAGAGCAGGTATTCTGTGTTTCTACAATGTCTCTGAAACCATGACTCTCCTCCACAGAGTCCAGACCACATTCACTCAGCCTCTCTATGCTGGACTTTATATTTATTACGATCATGGAAACACTGCTGAGTTCTGTAAACTAAAATAGTCAGAAGTGATTTAATTAAGGAACAGCAAATTCATTTTTGTGTTTTAATCCTGAAACTCATTTTGTCTCCATCATTGTCGCTTAATTGCTAATTGTTCTTCCCCTGTCAATCAAACATTGTGGGCGGTACTTTGACATCTTCTCATTATTGTTCTGTAAATGTTTGAGTTTCTTTAGGTGGAGCTCCTTTCTGTGTCTGTTTAGCCATCACTGCTCATGATGATCTTTGTTGACCTGAACTGATATTTCTCTTCATGAAAATGTAAACTGCTCTGAGGTTTAAATGTTTGATAAATATTAGTATTGATGTATTTGTTAGTTGTTGTTTCTCTTCCACTGCATGGCTCTTAAAGAGAGAAATCGCCAGAGCTTCTTTTATCAAAGATATTTAGTTCTCAGCACTCTTTGTAAAGATTTCTTTAAGTGAAATTATGCTTATTTTCTATAACAGATTAAATGTTGTTCTTGTTGTTTTCTTAATCGTTATACAAAATCAATAAGTAAATCATTCATTATTCTCTTTTACATAACTGAGATTCTGGTCAAACAAATAGATTATGAGGATGTGTTCATGAAATCATTGAACAAGAGTCATTTAACAGACTTTACTGATGGGATGTGAACAAACTGAAGGTTTACATGATGAATAAAGTATTTCTTGATTCAAGAATGAACAAAGTATTTTCTTCTTGTCTTATTTACAAGGTTTCATAGCTGATGGAGAAAATGTGAAACAAATTTGAGAGTATAACTGAGTCAGTTTTCCTCCTAAAACACCACAAAATACAGACTTCATGTTTATCACTTTTTATGAGTTATTTCGACATAATCAATTATTCAAGCATGTTATGTGTGAAAACAAAACAAAACAGTCACACCAGCAAAGGAAGAGACCGACTCCATGGGAAGGTGGGCTTTGATACCAGGAACCACACAGGGCCTTTTGCTCATGAAGCTTGGGACCCGCATCCTGCAAGACAAAGAGCCAGCGAGACAGAAGATACATGGACATCTCAGGAAAGGTGTAGAGAGATTCAGCAGCTGCTCATGATGAGGTCAGGTTATGTCTGATTGTCAACATGAGTTCCTTTATAGTCAGGACATTTACCTCTAGAGTATTTACCAAATCTCTAGAAACTGGAATATTACCAAATGACCAGAAAGTAGCACCTGTGTGGGGTAAATGCGAAGTCCATTGTGTGTCAAACATTATGAATATGTCTCCTCTCCCCCTCTCTCACCCACCCAGTCCCACCCTTTCAAAATAAAAGCCCCATAGAGTAACTGTATCTTAATATGAAGCTCAGAATGAGGTTCGTACAGAAATGATGGGAGCGTCATGCAATGATGGGAGCGCTCTCTCAATTGAACCTGAATGACACTACCGGTAACATTGGCGTGTGTATGTATTGCGATGTCTTCGGGCAGTAGAAGCCACACTGTCAAAATTTCTTGCGAAATGTTCTAGTTTTGTATTTTAATTGTATTTTTTTCTACTCTACATTTACTGTATGTTCCTGTCTTGTGCAGTACCTTGCCTGTATTTTATAAACATTCCTGTTCATGTTTATTGTAAGCACCAAACACCAAGGTACATTTCTAGTAGGTAAAATGACAATAAACCTTGTTCTGGGGCTGATTATGAAGACCAGCAAAAGACATTTACACACATACGATCACACAAAAGCAACAACTGCAGAGCTACCACTCCGCACACAGAATGAGTCATGATTGTAGATCAAATATGTCCTCCATGACCATTAACGTTATGTTTCTTCAGCTTTCTATAACAAGGTTTAGGCCTGTGTGGTTCGTTAGCTTTAAAGGCTTCGTCATCTGAAGCGGTTCGTTTTGTTGAACTGCACGAGAGCCTCCGTGTGATTTGTCTGCACACACACGATCTTTGGCCGCGCCCAACCTTCCCGCGCACGTTTTAAACGTCATTCCAAAAAACAGTCGGGGACGTTTCTCGATTCAACACCCGCCGTTTAAGTGTTCAGAAGTTTGTTTCATTCGTTGCTTTAATGAACTTCGCTAAAAGTCTTATTTGCTAACAGCTAGCTCGGTCGGTGTAAAAAAGAAAACGAGACACTTTCGCCTCTAGTTAACGTCGCACAAATTGACGTCACCGACGCGCCATGCGTGACAGCCAGCCGAGCGCCGAAGCCAAAAGTCTTTGAATTTGGAGTTCTTTGCGATGCAAAACAAACTCAAGCGGAGCAAGAAATGTAAAAACGTTTTGTGCCCGAGCAAAGAAGTGATAACGTTAGTGTTGGCAGAGTCCAGCTGCTGCCACGATGAAACATCACCAGAAAGAGATTCAGCAAAAGACACGCATGTCGCTGCTGCTGCTGCAGGCATCTCCACCAGAAAAGTTACACCACTTAAGGAGCAGAGAACGACCTTTTGCACAAAACACGTTAAAATTGCGCCAATTTTCTTCCGTAAAACGCAGCACGGCAAAAGTAAACGGAGCAGCGACGGGAAGCCGGGTCGGCCCGTGGAGAAGCTGCAGAAATCGGTGCTCCCTCTCCAGATTCCAGATGTGCAGCTGGTGACAGGTGGGCAGCGTTTATCAACAGTTCCTCCGCTGACGGAGAGAAAGAGGTCCCGGAGAGGACAGCTGTCACCCTCGGCTCTGCACAGCTGTCTGGAGGAAATCCAAACATCCAACCCAGCATTCCCAGTCAGAGCAGTGTTCAGCACTCTGCAGAGGAAAGCGTGCGAAAGGCCGCAGGACTCTGGATCCACAGGTGAGATTCTGAATCTGCTTTCATGTCATTCATTATTCGTCCATCAAGCAGAGATGAAGGTTATATTGAGCCATGCAATTGAACATGTGCTGCCATGACCAGTTAAACCTCTCTCTCTCTCTTTCTCTTCTTTTTTTTCCCCAAAGCAGAAAGTATAAGCTCCCCACAGAACATCTTACAAGAGAAGAGGAAACGAGGAAACGAAAGCTCTGAGAGGGTGCCCAAACGTCTGAGGTGTAGTCTCCCTGCAGAGGAAGCCTTTGACGGGCGTCAACGCCTCACGTCGGCCGTCCAGGAGAGCACCGTCCCGGTGAACAAGCAGCCCAGAGGCAACAAGCTCAGTCGCCCCCACAGACTGAGGCGGCAGAGGGTGAGCCCAGCAGGCCCGGAGCCGTACTCTGGAGGGATGGATCACGCAGGATCTCACAGCCACTCGCTCAAAACCTCTGGCATCCCCCAAAGAGGTAAACTTGTCACATGATGATTGCTTTTATGCCCTTTTAGATAGCAGGGAATTTACTCCCCCCCCCCCCCTTCCTCTCTTTTTGTCCAGATTCCAGTTTCGAGGACGTCCTCTGGACAGACAAGTACAGTCCTCAGCATTCAAGCGAAGTCATCGGCAACTCTGCCTCTGTGAATAAACTGCAAATGTTAGTTTAATACAATGAACTGCCTTCACCCTGTCTCTGATATATTGGACTTGAAATCGGTGTGAGCATAATCTGTTGTTTTTCCTCGATGGAATTCAGTTGGTTGAAGAAATGGAAACTAAGAGCCGACTGTGACGAGAGGAGAAAAATGGACGAGAGGAAACAAGAAGAAAACAGCAGCAGCAGTATGTGTGGGCTGGCATTTTGCACACTTCTGTACAGGGTTCCATTTTTAATGTGGTTTCTAATGAACTTAACCAAAAAAATAAAAAATCTGCACATTTTTGGGTAACCAAGAAACTTTTAATGACTGGGTTTGTGTCCTCCTGTGCAGACTCGTGGGACTATGGAGACTTCCAGGGTGAGGCTGGGCCAGAGGACGACAGAGAGGCGCCGCTGTGCAACACCACGCTGATCACGGGACCTCCAGGTGTGGGCAAGACCGCCTCAGTGTACGCCTGCGCCCAGGAGCTTGGCTTCAAGGTTGGATTCAAACTGGACCGATGCCTTTGTGTCCATGCTGCCAATCTTAATCCATATTCATTCATTCATTCTTTTAATACACTGCTCTGTGGCTCATGGAAATTATGTCCATTGGCTCAGAGAATCTGAAATGCATCGTGTAGTCGCACAAATCCACAATTGCCACACCGCGAATTCTAAATGAAAGCGAGTCAATTTGAAATTGATCGTCGAAATGAATTACGTGTTAATGTTAATATATTCTGGACAGAATCATCAGTTTCAATAGATTCGAGGCTGCTTTTGCGGTACAGAATAATCTGGACACCACACTTTAAATAAGAGGAATTATCTTTCATCTGTCCTTTTTCCTTTTTCAATCACAGGTATTTGAGGTGAACTGCTCCTCGCAGCGCAGTGGCCGCCATGTTCTGTCCCAGCTGAAGGAAGCGACCCAGTCCCACCTAGTGGAGATGTCGGGGAAAGACCCACTGAAACCAACATACTTCAACAACTACGCCATCAACAGCTGCACTCCTAAATCTGAGACTTTACCTGGTACGACATAGATGATGATGATGAAAAACCTCTTTCAACAGAGATTGTTTTGTAAGAAAGGTGAAAAGCTCATGGTGTCAGGTGTGTGTGGTGTTTACATGCATATCCGCAGACAGTAACGGAGGCCTCGTTGTATTCTTTTCTTTAACAGGAAAAGCGGTGCGTCCCAAAAATGTCCCCTCCACCTCAAAAAGCAGAGCGGCACGGAAGTTTGGCCCCTCTCGTCTCCAGGGAAAAACCAATCCAGCCACCGTCACGTTGGCCAACTACTTCAAGAGGAAGGCCAAAGCGGATCACGTTCACTTCGGCGGTCCGTCGCCGTCTGAAAAACCAGACGGCGAGAGATCCGGCGACCCATCGGCGGACTCCGATCAACTGGCGCCAAAGAACAAAAAGACGGCCACGTCACTCATTCTGTTTGAAGAGGTAAAGCGCGCTGTAAGACATAGACTTTAATGGAGACCGCACAAATTCTGTCTGGTTTGATCCGTCCCCCCCCTGATTGTCCGCCCCCACAGGTCGATGTCATATTTGATGATGACGTTGGTTTCCTCGCAGCCATCAAGACTTTCATGACGACCACTAAAAGACCGGTCATTTTGACCACCAGTGGTAAATGCACACGCTGTGTAATCTTTAGACGAGAATTACATCGAAGGACGAGCTGTGATGCAAATAAAATGTCTTCCTTAGATCCTTCATTCAGAGAGAGATTCAACTGCAGCTTGGAGGAGATCCTTTTCAAAACCCCATCGGTGGTGAGTCAGGTTTTTTGTGCTTATAAAGGCTCCCCACACATGCAGAATCATTAGAGCGAGCACGAGTCTTGTCGTAAACATACTCCATCTGTTGTTCCGAGGTGAACGTCTGTAGTTACCTGCAGCTGGTGGGTTTGGCTGAGAACGTGAGACTGGAGTTGGACGACGTCCGTGGCCTCCTCGGGCTGTCCAGGGGGGACGCCAGGCGCTGCCTGCTGCAGCTGCAGCTCTGGGTGCGCGGTGGCGGAGGACGGGCGTCTCGGAGCGGAGGCTCGCCTGAGAGAGGAGACGGTGAAGACACCCGACATCCTCATCGTGACACAGGCTGCACTGCTAGCATGCTGGGTCTCCATCATGTGACCCAACACCAACTGTTGAACCTACTAAAGGCAAGTGTTGATATCTTCACCTGTTTTTTATATGTATGTATGTATGTATGTATGTATGTATGTATATATGTATATATATATATATATATATATATATATGTGTGTGTGTGTATATATATATATATATATGTATGTATGTATGTATGTATATATATATATGTATGTATGTATGTATATATATATATGTATATATATATGTATGTATGTATGTATATATATATATGTATGTATATATGTATGTATGTATGTATATATATATATGTATGTATATATATATGTATGTATATATATATGTATGTATGTATGTGTATATATATATATGTATATATATATATGTATGTATGTATGTATATATATGTATGTATGTATGTAT